CATGATCACAAACTCATATACATCACACGCACACACACACACACACACACACACATACACCTCCCATTCATTGACACTGTGCCTGTGTGTGTGTCAAGTTGTGTACGTTGTTTGCTTCTGCCTGCCGTGTTTAATCCCAGCCGGTTCTATAATAAAGAGAGTTGTGTTTGCTCGCTCGTGAAATACACACCACACACGTAACATCACGCCTGGGCATTATGGGCATACATAGGACGCTGTCACCGTAAAATGCCATTTCCTAAGAACCAACACCACGGTGCATAAGTTTGCGTTTAGGTCACCACTGCCCAGAACGCTAATACATCGTCCATTATACCATGTCGATAATCAGTCCGCGCGGCGCGCGGCCGCGGGGGAAAGCCAGGGTGTGGTCAGTGGGGGCGCGACGTGGACCAGCATTGTTCCACACACACACCTGCATACACAATCCCAACAACCCTCCCTACGCCAAGATGCGATCTGACAGGTAAAAATTCAAAAGGAGTGCAAACGTAAAATTAATGTCTTGTGACAGCGAACCAATGCAGTGACCTCCTTGATCCTGTATGTTGCTTTAGCGCCTCCGAAGGTCTGTGAACCATCATGGTATCAATCAGAACATTTCCTAAACAAAGACCCGTAAATGGGCTAAGGTAGCGACCATTCGAAGCGATCCCCGTGGTTGTGCCGGTACTTCTGGGACCCGACGGAGGAAGCTGGACAACCAGAACTGAAACACGTGCTCTCCAAGTGACCAGCTCTGCATTGCGGGCCCTGTGAGCGTCACACCACACACAACACACAGACAGACCACACACCAACACACACCACACACAACACACAGGCCACACACAGACCCACACGAAAGGAGACACAGAGTGTGTATAGTTTTATTTGTGGGATACGAGGTGATACAAACCAAATATTCACGGTTTACACAAAACATCAGAGGCTACAGTCTGTCCATAAAGCATTTAAATCCATATAATTAACACTCTTCATCATCATCATCATCATGATAACAAAACAGCTAAATCAGGAAGTGACATCACGCACACGAGTCAAATCACATACAAACATACGTGTGTATGTTCACACTCACACACACACACTCACACACACTCACACATACACACACCAACAGCCCTGTGTAATAAGCATGACTTACAAAAAGCTGTAGAAAAATACTCTTAAAAAACCAAACACACAAAAACAACAACAGCAACAACAACAACAACAACAACCACTTGGAATGTTCTGGATGTCAGTTAGACGTGAGCATGGAGGGTACACCGGGCAATCTGTTGGGCAATCTGTTGGGCAATCTCTGGAATAAGGAATTCTGGCTTTTAAATGGACACTTTTTCTAATCGAATAATTCAAGAATAATTCCTCCATTCTGCATTTTTACAAACCTACAGAGTCGGGCAGGTGTCATGAAGGAAAAAACTAATAAAAAGTTTAATTGAAATTAAAAAATGTAAACATATTTGGTTGTCAAAGAACTGAATTAAATGTAAATTAAATTGACGTCTATTAAACATATTAAAAACTAAATAAAACTAGTGTTTAATTAAAGTTTGTGGCACAAACTGTTTTCTTTTCTTTATTAACACCTGCCAGGCCCCGAACAGATTCACTTTAAACCGTTAGCTTAAAAGAATAATGTGGTAACGAATAATGATTTAATTAACTGTAACTGAACCAGCTAAATGTTCTCAACTCAGTTTCAATTAAATAAGTCCGGACCAACTCTTTCAAAATGTTAGCTGACTTTAGCAGTTCGCTGATTATTCCACACATTGTCACTAATTGGACAGTTAGCTGAGCCAGCTAGTTAGCTATAGCGTCTACCTCGCTGTTGAAATTACACAACTGAATCAAATTGGTTCACACATACATAGCAAAAGATAACGTAGCTTCCTGCTAAATGTTGCCAACTTTATGAAACACATTAATTAATTGTCTATATTGGTTAAATGCTACATTTGTGCTTCACACTCTAGCTGGCGCTAATGTGGCAGTATTTGTGTTAGTGAGCTAACTGGAGCAATAGCTCGTTAGCTAAAACTGTTTATTTTAAAACTACAGTTGGTTTGTAAATTAATAGCTAAAGCTGCTCTGTTAGCATTTGATAGCATCATGAATCAGCAGTAATCAGTCAACCGTGTTAGCAATTTGCCTCTTTGTTTCACACAATATTTTTTTCCGCTTTATTTTGATTCCACTTATTTGATGATTTATATGATTGAGTTTTAAAATCTGGTTGAAATATCGAGCCTCTGAAGTCCCAAAAGGAGCTATTATCTCATGTCTTCATGTTTAAAGCATAAATGTGGTCACAAATATTGATTTAATTAATCACAACAGTTGCAAAGATCCAAGACTCCATCATCTGAAATAAGAAGCTAAAAATTATAAAACTCTACAGTCAGTGGAGTTAACTCACTTTAGCAGTTAGCTGATTTATTACATCCTCACAAATCTGACAGCTAGCTACTGTTCTCTGCTAGTTAGCTATAGTTTCTAGTTAAAACTGTTCACGTGACACAACTGAATCACATACATATCTAAAGCTAATTCAGCGTCCTGCATTAATAAAATCAAACATATTAAGTATCTATATCGGCTAAATGCTACATTTGTGCTTCACACTCTAGCTGGCGCTAATGTGGCAGTATTTGTGTTAGTGAGCTAACTTAAGCAATAGCTCGTTATCTAAAACAGTTTATTTTAAAACTACAGTTGGTTTGTAAATTAATAGCTACTCTAGCATCACGAATCAACCATAATCAGTTATCTCTGTTAGCAATATGCTGCAGTTTTGCTTCACACTTTGTTTTTAATCTGTTTTTATTTTGACTTTATTGATATGATTTATATTCTGGTTGAAGTATGGAGCCTCTGAAATCCTAAAAGGAGCGATTATCTCATGTTCTTATGTTAAATTATATTTAATTTTAGCATAAAACATAACAGCACAAGATGAAAGAATATACTGTACGACTGCTTTCTGTCTCTTATGCTCATATTTCACATTTAAAAGTGTAAATGTGAATCAAACACTGTGTGAATGAAGCTCACTGACAACTGTTGTCCATCAAAGTTGCCCAAATAAGTTGCCGATGTGTTTAGAAGCAAAAAAATCCTCTCTCTCTGTATCACACACACACACACACACACACACACATACAGTACGACATTGTACAGGTAACAAGGTTGTTTTTTTACTGCTAAGTTTAAGTACAGGCACTATAGAGTGAAGCATTGTGGGAAGTTGAGAGCTCAACTGGTTTGTTTTAGTTAGCAGCTTTTATAAATTCAGTGCTGAACGCCTGAACGTTGTGACAATGTTTTTTATGATGATTAAAGGTTTTAACACTTAAAGCAGAAGATGAGATGATGTGGAAATAAAGTGTGTGAGTTTAACACACACACACACACACAACACTGAGCTCAGTTGTATTAATGAAGCCTGTTTATAATAATAAAGATCTTCCTGATAAAGTTTGATCAGAAGGTTTCTCTGAGTCACTGCTGCCACTAAACTACACGTAAAGTAAAAACCTTAAATCAAGAACAAGTGGCACGTTTACGGAAGCAAATAAAGGCCATAATAATTTAAATTAAACCACAACAACCACTACTGGACACTTTGTGTTTAAGGAATACCACTGAGTTTATGGCTTTGAAATATTTCCCTCTGTAAACCATCTGTCAGGATTTATGAGGCGTTCAGAAAGTAGAAAATTAAATGTTTTGCAGTTTTAAAGGTTTTGTTTAACTCACATTATTTTCTTATTTAAAAAAATTTGCTTCTAATTTTTAAAATTAATTAAAAAACATATAATTGACCCTTAGCCCCGCTCCTTATTGCCCTTTTCTCCAATAACTGTACTTAGATATTCTATGTGCTAGGCTAATCTATGTTGAAAAAATAAAAGTGACTTATATATAGCCCATCTTAATGTTATGATTGATGTAGATTAGCAAGATAGTTTAGGCTACTTTAAGCCTTTGATATTAAATTACCTAAAATCTCAAAGTGCAGAATTCAGACAACGTAAATTCAGAGTCAAATATTTAAATGCTACAAATAAATCGATATTTAGATTTCAACATTCAGTAGTGGTTAAAGTTTGCAGTTAGCTAGTACGCTAGTTGTTTATTAGATACAAACTCTTACGGCCTGTTTTTGCTTCCATACGTGTTTCTGAGCAACAAACACTAAAAATAATAATAATTTAGTGTTAAGTGAATGTTAATCGTATGAATGTGACAACAACAGCTCTACTAGCTAACTAGTTAGCATCTGTAATACTAGTTTATACTACTGCTCGTACAGCAGTTAGCATCTGAAGGCTATCAGTATATAGGCACAGGTAGAGGAACTGAAGGTGTGTGAGATTGACGATGACGTCACTTCCTCCTGGAATGCTTGGAGCAGGAAGTGTCGGGTGCGTGTGTGTCAGTCGCTCAGGTAGGTGTGGATGTAGATCTGTTGTTGGATCCAGGGGGTGAAGTGCGTCACGTTGCTGTACACGCCGGGTCCGAGCACTTTACTGAAGCACACGCTGCCCCACGACGTCAGGCCGAACAGCGTCCAGCGACCGCCGCCGTCCTCCTGCTCGCACACCAACGGGCCGCCGCTGTCGCCCTGGAAACGCAAATACACACAATATTATAAAAGTTAATATAGAAGATTTATTTTATTAGAAGATTAGAAGACTTTTTTTTAAGTACTAATGATAATGTTTATCAAGGATTAAAGGAAATATTTGCTTGTTTCCAATCAATCAATCAAAGAACTTTACGATCAATTTAAAAAATATAGGATCTAAAATGAGTACAGCAAAAGAGCAAGAAGAAGTTTAAAATAATTAAGAGTAGTTTAAGCTAAAAAAAAGGTGATAAAAGCAATAAAAATAATAAAAAGACAAAATTATGGAATACAACAAAAAACAAATGGATTGTTGTAAAACAGTAAAATGTTAATTTAAATAAAATGGATTAAAATAATGATGCTAATAAATAAAAAACACAATTCAAGACATCTAACCAAGAACACATTGACTCCATGAGCTAAAAGGCTAACTCCATTCCGGAGTTAATGCATCATTTTATGTTTTTTATTATTAATACTTAATCAAATTATAAAAACAGAACAGACTAAAGGTGAATATAATATTTAAATAAATGTCTGTGCGTCTCTAAAAATAGATGCTACCATCAAGGTTGGATTACAAAAATACGTAATCCTACAGCTTTTCTATTAACGTAATAATTAATCAAACTTTATTTCCCATTAACCAGCTGTGGGTGAGACGTTACCATGCAGGAGTCCACGGTTCCAGCATCGTAACCGGCACAAAGCATCCTGGGAGTGATGGTCTTCATGTCGAAGTAAGACTGACACTGAGACAGCGAGATGATCCGAACCTCCCCTTCCTGCAGCTTAAAGGGCACTGGACACAAACCCACAGGAACAGTCAGTGTTTAAAGGTTATATATATCAGATTATGGACATTAATACAACAACAAAGACATGGTTTTATTCTGTTTCTATCCACTTTGAATGAAGTTACGATGATCTGAAGGTAACATTTTTGTCTCTGGAGTCAGGTGGAGAGTGATAGTGATATTTCGGCTGTTTGTGGACTCTTAGTGGACGATTGTGACGGACAAATTTGTCTCTGAGGATCAACGTTATCTTGTGATACGTTGTGGCCATTGCAGCCAATGTTATTAACATTCTCACACCGAACTCTGTGAATTAAGAGTTTGTTCAGACCAAACCAGAGTTGGTGACTGTTGGAAAGACAAACAAGGACTATTTTGATGAGTTTTATTAGTTGTGAGATGCTGTTACATTTCATAAATACAACCTATAAAGTTTTCTTTACATGTTTACGTTTACATTGGGCCTCATGCAAGAACAAAATTAGTCTAATTTACTAAATTAAAACAATAAGTTTTGGTTTTGTGCGTGTGTGTGTGTGTGTGTGTGTGCTCACTCCGGTTGCCCATGTGACCCCAGCCTGTGATGTAACAGTAGGAGTCCGGGGAGGGGAGCTGGTCGAGGTCCGGCAGACACACCGGCCGGACGTACTCCGTCTCCTCGATCTGAAAACACAACGACACGTCTCATCAGCGCCGTCCCGTCGGTACCGATAATCAATACGATCGATCAATGTGCGCCTCTGACCTCAGAGTCCAGCTGAACCACGCTGATGTCGTAGTCGACCACCGCCCGGTTGTAGCGCGGGTGTACGATGATGGAGCGCACCCCGCGGGTCTGACTGTGAACTCCTGGATGGTCAAGGTTGTTCAGACCCAACACCACCTTCCACAGGTCGGCACTCTCCCTCCTGCAGCACAAACAATCACTTTGTCTTATGTATTGATCAGTGTATTGATCAGCAGTGAGTGAACAGGTTTTAGGGTTAGCTCCACTTTAATGATATGTGTGAACCTGCTCACCCCTCGAAGCAGTGTGCGACCGTTAGAGCCCACCGCCGGGCGATGAGCACGCAGCCGCAGACGTGGCCGCTCTGACCGCTCTGCAGTGAGCACTGCCAAGGCCACGACCCCCGCCGCGACACCCGCCCTCCCAGAATCCTCTTCTTCCTGTGAGGGTAGACGCCCACCACCGGGCGCAGACCGCACTCTGTCAGACAGACAGACAGACAGACAGACAGACAGAGACCACAGCTGGTATTAGTGATTAATACCTCACAGATCAGTAACCAGATCAATCAATACATGTGATTTAAAGTCACTGGGATCAAATTTATTTTACTTTGGCTTAATGCATCAGATTACAGCTATTAGGCCATTTATTGATCGATGGACAGAAAATGAACTATTTTGATAATTGATGACTCGTTAAAAAGTATTTTTAATAGTCAAAAATCCAAACATTGTCCTGTTGTGTTGTTTTGGAATGAAAAATAATAACAAAAACACAACCATTCTTATTTTCAGCTGGTTGACTGATGATTAATGCAAACAAGGAGAAGAAAGGGTTTACCTTCTCTGGTACAAAGCACAGATACTCTCCTCCTGGAATGACACGCATGGCTGCAGGACAGACAGACAGACGAGAGACAGACAG